ATATATTAACTATACTTTTTAATTTTTACTATAAAAATAAAAATTAAAAAGTTCATATTTTTATTTTTATTTTGTGTTAGCTTCTTGGTATCTAATAATCATATTGGATTTCAATTATTTTGAACTTCATTAAGGAGAAGCTCTCATAACGTTTATTTCTTTATTTACAAGAGTCGAACTCGAAACCTTACTTAAGAAAAACCGAACTCATTCTACTTGAATCAACAAGTTATTGGAAATTCATATTTTTATTAAAATCACTTTGTTTTTTTTTTTTTGGTAAATAAAAATCACTTTGTTAATATACCTTTTTTTTGGCAAAAAGCAATCAATTAAAAAATTTTTGGCCAAAACATTGATCTCATAAATACAATCTTACAATTTAGCAGCGATTATGATTCATGCTTTTTACTAAACAAAACTCATAAAGAAATATGTATCCATTCATTTCATCAATGAGGCTCACATTAGTTAAAGATTTAAATTTTAATTGTTGGTTCTCATTTTGTATATTTATTAACTAGTATTGTATTTAAAAATTAAAATTTATTGTGTTATAAAGAATTAAATTTATCGTAATTAATCTAAATAAATTATTATTGGTTGTTATTAAACATAAAAATCAAAAATATAAAAATATAAAACTTAACTAAATAGAACTTGAGTTTCGCGAAATTTTATTATGAATAAATTTTATCTGTACATTGCTTGTTACTTTTTTCCCCATTCTCAAACAAATTTATGAAACGAAATACTCCTAAAATAAATGGAAGAATGAAAAATAAAGACGTTTTAGTATTTAAAATGTTCTAACTTTTAATTATAGTTATTAAATATATGAGATATAACATAGATTTTAATTTTATTAAATTTATTATATGATTATTAATGGATGCTTTAGTATTTAAAAATGTTAAGACATTTTAATTTTTTCTTTTTATCAAAATAAAATAAGATTTTTTCCTTAATGTACATTTATGGTATAGATTTAAGATAAAAGTTAAAAATATTTTTTTTGTCATAAATATATATAAATATGAAAATTAATATTAATTTTAATATTGTGTTAAATGAATGAATTTAATTAAATAATTATTAAATTAAATGTTAATTTTTGTTTTTTTAATATAAATTTATAATAAAAATGTATATTTTTTACATTTTTAACATATTTTCAAAATATTATATTAAAAAAATTTTGTTTAACGTGTGTTCTAAAAAACATAGGTTAAAAGTTTAATAAATATATTTATTAATTAATTTACATTAAAAATTATGAAAATTGATATATTTTTTAATATTATTAATACGTAAATAATTTTAATTAATTAATTAATTTAATTAAAATCAATATTTATATTTTTAATAAAAATTAATTATAAAAAATATATTTATTATATTTTTATTCTGTGACTCAAAGGTGAAAAATAAAAAAATCCTTGAGAAAAAGAAAACCAAAAAAATAGTAGCGGCCATGGTTGACTTCCTACAACCCAAAATCGCGTTGGATGCGCGTTCTTACTTAAATTAAAAATAGAGAAAAAAAATTAATTAGTAAGAGAAAGATCCAATATTGGATTTTTATCTATTGATTTTCCTCTAATCAAAACCATTAATGTGATCTTGATCTTTTAACTCTTAGTTTTAGATGGCGGTTTGGATTTCAGTTATATATAAATCCGTCTGGCTATAATTTTGTCCAACACAAGTAAAATTTGTGATGTATATATGCAGGTACTGTGATTTGGACTCAATGCAAACAAAGTGAAATAGAATTGTGAGTTTATTGGTCTTTTTTTTTTTTTTTCTTAAACAGAAACTATAATTCTATTATATTAAACATGAGCATCCAGATACAACAAAACAGACAAGTCCTTAGGTGGGGGCAGTGTGCTCAACGAGGAAGACATTGATTTTTAACATATGTTTTACCATGCAATCACAAAACTAATTGTTGCAACGATTTTTTCTTTTTTTCTTTTTTTCTTTTTTACTTTTTTTATTTTGGTTTTTTGCCAGTTATTGTTGTAATGATTTGGTTGTCTCATAAAGTCTCTATTTTAGTACTTTATTGTGTTTTTTCTATTTTTTCCTTTTTGTCATGATGCGTTGAAACTAAGGTCTGGGTGTTCTAAGGAATTTAGGTCTTTTCTCTCGTACACCACCTAACGTTGAAGGCGGTGGCTACGGTTTCCTCTCTCAGGTTTTCTCTTCGACAATGAGTTTTTTCTTTTTCTACTGTCTTCTTCTCTTCCCTTCCGCCTCTTAATTTCTTCTTTTCTCTTAGTTGACTGTCTTGTTTTGGAAACTTCAGCTCAAGGGATCACAAGGTAGCAACATCTTTCGATCCACATCTATTGTCGATTTTTTAAGGTTGTGACTGAATATTAAGGGACATGATATCGCTAGTGGATTTGGATTTCTCTTATTCACCATATCAAAATCTTGCTTCGACATATCTTTAATTTCGAATGGAATCCTGGCGAGGGTTGCATTCGGAGAACGTGGTGCACTCCAATTTTTGGCAAGGCAGCGACATCTTTCGATCTACATCAAACAACCTAGTGCACTCCAATTTTCGATCTGGTAATCAAATACAAAAGGACAAGGATGCTGTGGGTGACTCTGGTTCTAGTGCTGTTGGTTTTCTAAGGAAGTATATGTTTTTACACTGGTTTTGCTTTTGTCGATCACCTAAACATGAAACTAACTAGGCATTTTCCGCTTGGACAAAGCATTGTGGTGCCAGGAGACACCACATCGCCAAGTCCCTTGATCTCTCGTGCTAGGTTTGGATGCCAAAATAAATGTAATTACTAGTGGCGACTGTAAGTTCTAGTATAATCTTTCTATGTTATCATATAACTCTATTGATACTCCTATAACATACACTAGTATTTAGAGGTTTCCAGTTTTTAATTGTTTTATTTATATAGAGCACCAAACTTTCTATATTAGTATTATATGTATTACCTAATTTATTTATCTCTATTGCATAGCCTATATGACATGATATACTCTGCACTATAATTGCTTTTCAATTATTAATCCAATTATATCTTTTATCAAAAAATAAAAAAAGAAAAAAGAAAAACAGGGTGTTCTCCCTAATGAGCTATTGTACGGCCTCAATTTTCTAAAGAGAATAGAAAAATCTTAGAGCGTGGAAAGCATAAGGAAAAAAAAAGTGAGTTAAATATATATAAAAAAAAAAGTGAGTTAAATATATATAAAAAAAAAAGTGAGTCATTTTATATATTTGAATTAGAAACTTGTCTTATCTTAATATTGCCCTTGTTTATAAGCAGTAACTCTACTTAATTTACTTTTATTTTTATAGATTGAGAATAGTTTTTTCAATTCAGGTTATACTTCTTTTATACTTTTTGAATTATTAAAATATTAAAATATTTATAATAGATAAATTAAAAATGTGTTTTAGAGAATGAATTATATATTAAAAGTACAATTCATTTTATAAATTTATTATAATATTTAATAAAATTATTTTTTATATTATTTTATTAAAAATATTTT